TCTCCGCTTGCCCTAAGGCTGTACTCCCAAGGTACGCAGTGCGCACAGGTCACGCACTGAGCGGCAGGACTTGAGCTTGGAGCAGCAGCCTGAGCCCGGCTGTCCCGGCTCCCCAGGACCAGCAGAGCACAGGGATGCGGGGAGGATGGGGTCGGGGGGATGTGTCCGTAGGGAGCTGAGGAGATACTTCTTTTCTTTAGAGCCAGTGGAAACAAGGGGGCCACCTCAGAGTTAGGACGAATTAAGATGATGTCAGCCAGCTCCCCAGCTGTAGTAGCCCTTTCCAGCACAGAATTCCCAAGTTGTACCAGATCCTTTCCCCTCTTCCTGGGTCTGTACCCGGGAGAAGGCGCGTCTCTGAAGAGACCACAATTCCTTGGATCAGAGCTTTGTCTGCACTGAAGGTCCTCTTCTCTTCTCCAGAAACTGGCACGCTCAAGACCAGTTCTGGGATGCTTCCCATGAAGCAATTTAACGGATGTCCAACTGGAAGAATCCTGCAGATTCTTGGGCCAAGGAGTGACTCTCTGGTCATTTGCAGGGAGAAGTGTCTCTCTTTTAGTGGCCAATTCAAGCCCCTGCTATTAGCATTTGAATCAGGCAGCCTTGCTGTTTTGACTGAAAAGAGAAACCCAGGCTTTGTTGTTGCAATTTAGGGGCGTGAGTAATTTTCTACCCTCCTTTAATCAAGTCAAATAGATGGGGAAATGGCAATATATGGGGAAAGTGTGGTCTGGCCTCGGAAATGCAAACGCGGCCCCCATCCTGAAGCTGCCCCCTGTCAGTTCCTGGCCCCACGTGTGACAGCTCAGCTCCAGATCAGCGGGTTTCCTTGGCCAGCTGTCCTGTCCATTGGAATTTGGCTGAATGTCTTCAAAATATTCTCTTTGTTTGGATTAAACCAACCCAGATAATGGTGGAAATGCAGCAGGACATGATTGATGCGTGGATGGTCAAGGTCTCCTCTTGCGTCCTCTGGTCCATTTCCCACGCACAAGGGAGAAGGGTGGAAAGGTCCCTGCAGGGTCCAATGGTGACACCAGCACTCTCCTGAAGTTAAGGCTCCCAGGAGCACTTTGTAACATTTAATTTGTATGCCTAGGAGACACCCTGTTTGCTTCTGTAGCTAATAAAAACTGAACATTTGTTAAGTTAAAAAGACGCAAGAGGACCAAGGTTTCAAAAATCCTCCATTTGCCTTGCTATTCCTTTCAGGGGCTCACAGTTTCCTGTATGGTGTTCGTGGAGATGCGGAGATCTGGGATCCTTAGAAACGTAGACGACAAGGAAAACCCATCTGGGGAAAAAAAGTCTCTTGCAAAGTTGATGGGTTTGCAGCCAGGCTCAGAGCCAGGATTGCTTACTTTTGTGCCCTGACACTGGGGCAGAACCGTCACCCTGTGGGAAGCTCCTGGCAGCACTTCAGGGCCGCGTGGCAGGTGACAGGCTTGACAGCATCCCTGATGAACATCCGTCAAAGGTGTCTGTAAAACCGCAGAGGTCGCACGAGCCCTGCAGCCCCAGCCCATGGGAAGGGCCCGGGACCCCTGGCTCCAGCGGGAGAGGACCAGCCCCTCAGCCGCCCTGCTCCGCTTGTGCAGAGACGGCCTCAGGAAGACGCTTCTCCGCCTGCTCAGCCCGAGACCAGGCTCAGCAGCAACGAGAAGCTGCTCAAGGCGTTAAAGTGAGCTGTCGGAGGAAATCCACGCTCAGCAAACTGTGTTCTGTCCACTCTTCCAGCTAAGATGTTTGTGAGCTTCCTTCCCCACTCCACTCCCCTTTGGATGACAGGCGAATTCCCTCCTTTGAGATTTGGTTGACCCAGTCCCTCTCCCTCACATTCTGGGTCACAAGCCCACCACCCCTTCCAGGAAGCCCTCCAGGATTTATCTCCTTCGCTCATTAGCTCCTGCATAAGCTGGGGCTGAAACTGCCCCTCCTTCAGTTACATTCTTTAGCTGCTGGAGCCCTGTAAGAGCCCCAAAGGCGGGTACCGCGTCTTCTAATTATTGGGTGTTCTCCCCTAGGCCTGAGTGCTCTTCCAAGAAAAGCAATTTGTCAAACAGCTGTTCCCCAGGAGCTGATTAAAGGCTGTGTTTGTTTCTGCCTCGCTGGTTGCGGTATCGTGTGTGCAGAGACAAACGGCAGGCGGGGCTCTGAGGCACCTGTCTCACCGCGAGGCAGGGGGTCGCCCTGCAGTTTGCTGCAGCTGTTCTGGCCTCACCAGGAGAACCAACGCAGAAAGGGGGGATGAAGTCCCAGGGGCCAGCCTAGGACCACCGTTGGGACCGGGTGACACCAGGCAGTTCGTTCACTGGCCCTAGAGTCTGTCCCCCAAACTCAACTGGTGATGACAGCCATTACTCCATGTTCTCACAGAGCGGTGTGAGCACCAGGAGAGCTTGTGTGGGGCCCGCCGCTGCCGAGGCGGAGGGGCACTGCCTTGCCACCATCACTGCAGGGTCCGTAATTGGTCCCCAGGGCAGCCCTCCGGTTCCGGCCTCCTGGAGGGAATTCCCCACAAGACCGCAGTCCCCTGTCATTTGTCCCCATCTTCCCAGACAGCCCAGGATGCGGGCGAGGGAGGGAGGGCACCGCGGGGTGGTAAATGTTGCATCTATTACTAGCATTGGGAGACAGGTGGCGGCTAGAGCAGACGGCTGTGTGCCAGGCCCTGGGCAAGCGTCTGCGTGAGCTCGTGTCCCCTGTGTGTCCCCTACCCGCCGGCAGCCCTCTGAGTCATCAGTGCTCCGTCCGTCCCGTGGTGCGGACCAGACAGCTGCTCCGAGGCTCGCGGGCGTGTTCCGGGCCACGGCTGCGAGCAGCCGGGGGCCACACCCGGTGTCCTCGCGCCCATCCGGGCGGGAGGCAGCCCTTCAGCCGTGCGCGCGCGCTCCTTCAGCGCCGGACCGGACCGTCTGGCTTTAGGCCCAGGTGATGCCAGGTTTTATTAGGGGTACTGTGGAGGAGTGAAGGGAAGACGTCGTTTCGTGGGCTGCAGCAATGGGCGGATTCAATATGCGTTGCACAAAATCCATGTAATCCATCCGCACGTGGATGCGCAGCGCACGGGGTCAGGAACTGCTGCCTTCATCGGCGGCTTGCCGCTGCTTCTTCCAAGATGAGCACGCGCCGGAGACTTTCAGGGAGAAGTCCCGAGGCAGTAGGATAGCAGCGCTGTGTGCTCAAGGCGTGCCGAGCCTGACAGCTTGCTTCTGTGTTTGCTTTTCTCTGTTTGGTGCTACCCCGAGCAGACTGCTGGAGAGGAACGGCCGGTTTGCTGATGTGGGCCCAGAGGGCAGAGCCGTTGGTCTGCTCAGTGTTGTCTTGGTCTGGAAGCCGCACAGTGAGGCTCTGTCTCAGATCTGGGAAGGGGGGCAGGGGCCGGGGCCAGCCCAGGGGAGCGTTTGTGAGTACACAGTACCCTCCCTGCTGCCTGTCAGCAGACTGTGCACTGAAAGTCCTGACGCATCCAGGAGGGCTGCGTGGAGGCAGTGGCACGTTTATATGTACCGAACTGTTTACATTCTGGTCTTGATGTGGTGACCAGGGGACAGGAAAGTTAGTTCTGGCTTTAGACACATAAACATCTAACCTTGAGTCTAATTTAACAGCAAAAGGAAAACCAAAACAGCCCCTTGCCTTTCCGAGGTCGAGTTTCCTGCGGCTTCCCTCCGTGGACTCTCTCCGCCCAGCAAAGCCGGCCCTCAGTGGGCGATCACAGAGATGAACCCAGGGCCTCAACCGGCATTCCTTAGCAATAAGGTACTATCTCCCAAAATATCAAATAGTGTGCAATGAAAATTTAAATATAGATAAATAGACATTTTAGTGATCATTGCTAGTCCAACTTTGCCAAGTTCTGTTTTAAAAAATATTTCTCACATTTTGAAGGTAAGGAAAATGATAACCACAAAAATAACGCTTGCTTCCGAGAACTGGATCACGTGTTCCCAAGTGGACACGGGCAGGGCGGAGTGCGGCCAGGGGAGAGGACGGAGGACGGAGGACTTCTGGTCAGCGGGTCCGCAGCAAAAGGCTCTGCCTGCCCTCCGCTTCCTGAGGTGCGACAGCGCAGCCGGTAGAAAAAAAGTTTCGAATCAGAAAACAAGAGAACAAGTGGCCCTGTGCGGCAGGTGAGTAATCTAGAAAAATGCCAGAAATGAGAAATATTCAGGAAAAAAAAGAACCAAAAACTCCCTGCAGTTTTTGAGAAGTTGGCAGTGGCCGCGGAAAGGGAATTGAGAAATTCCAGATTTGGGGTGGCTCCTGCTTCTGATCTGAACCCCAAAATCACTTTCCCCAGGAATTCTTCCGGGACCCCCGTGGGGTGGGGTGGGGTGGGGGGACCTGGGCAGCGCTCATCTTTTCCGGGCTGGAGTTTTCCTCTTCTCATCACCGCGGAGGGGGTCAGGGATGTGGCTGCTCCACGCCCCGCCCTCCGCCTGCGCTCCCCCAGCCACGGGGCAAGGGCTGTCACGGGCACCGCGAGGTCTCCTGCTTCTGGAAGAGTAACTAACACACCGAGGAGAGCAGTCAATTTTTCCTCAACGAATGCGTGAATGAATGAATGAATGCGCTCCTTTGGGTTCAGTTTTACGTCTATAAAATCTGGGTAATGCCCACCCCCCCCCTTCTCACGCGGTGGAAAGGATGGCGTTGCAGGTGGGTAGGAACTGCCTGACCCTTTGTACCTCTGTGACCTTAGTCAGGCCCGGCCTTGGTGTCCTCATTTTGTGCAGAGGGTACAAGGGTGCCCACTCTAGGGGTGTTGTGAGGACTAACTCAGCAACGTAGTTAAGACGCTTTACCTAACGGCTGGCATGTGGTACGATCTCTTTAAATGTCCAGTACTTTGTACAAGATGAGTTGCATCCATTAAGGTCGCCATGGTGATGAATGTCTAGTGTGTGACACCCTCCTCCGTGTTAGATACATCTGTTGCCAACAACCTCATAAAGAAGGAGCAAGGAGGCTCCTGGCCGCCAGCTGGAGCAGCACTGGTGAGCAGGTCTCCACTGGGAGAAGCCCGGTTGCAGCCTGGCTGCTGACTGTGTCCGACTACGTCTGTGAGACAGACGTTTTGGCATTAGTCCAGTTTGATGCAGCAGGAATGGTCAGCCTTGAAGACGAGACACCAGGATTCAGTCTCTTACAACTTTGCTGTCTTATCTACTTGCCTTGTCTTTTGGAATCCTTACCAGATTTTGTCACGAACAGAGTTCATATTTTAATTAATGCACTGTGCATGAATTAAATTAATTACTTTACTTCTAATTAAAGAGCAACCATCAAGCTGTCTAACTGTACAGGTGCAGCGTAGCTCAGAGGCGGGTGATTGGTGGAGAGGTCCAGAAGGCCGGGATTCTGGCGAGGGGGCACCTGGAGAAAGATGGGCTGCGGCCGGCGAGGGGTGGGAAGTCCCTCTCTGGTCCAGGCCCACCCCGCTTTCTTTCCTCCGAAGATGTCGCAGATGCTGTTCCATTGGGCACCTGTGCACAGACCCATCTCTGAGACAGGACAGCATCACCTGATACTAGTTGTTCTCTAGTCTCTGTTTCCTGGGTATCAAATTCCATCAATTCAGAGGTGTTTTATAGATACTAACTTCAAGTCAACGGGTAAACAGCAGCTGTGAATTCATCAGTCATTAGTTTGATTTTCATGCAAGTTGCAGTAGAGATTATTTTTTCGCACACACACACACACACACACACACAGACCTTTGTTAATAGTGATTTGTTTTTACTTCTCTAATATTGATTTTGGTGAAGATTGATTGATTTGTCTTGCTAGAAACAGGTGCTGTTTTATTTATTGAGCCAGTATCTGAGGTTCTCAAACATCCTCTAAAGCAGGATTGTTGTGTATGAGAAGCTAATTCAAATTTTATATGCTTCCTTTGACACCCAATTTTGAAGAATGTTTCCATAATTTTCTCAGTGGTCAAAATTTCCAGTTTGAGACATAGTAGCCTGTGGATTCATATGATCAGGAAAGGAGGCATCGATATTCTGAAGGATGGATAGATACACAATGAGAAACGCACAGGTAAAACAGCCTTTGAAGAGCCGCTGCACTGGGGAATCTACTGGCAGACTTACAGTAGACTGAGGTGTTCAATGTAAGGT